GGTCTGTGACCGGCTCCCGGTGCAGACGGCTCCCTGTTATAGTGTTTCCTCACTTGGCTCATGTGAACCCTGCCCAATTTTTACTCTTTAAGTGTGTGCGTGTGTGTGGGGGGGATATGTGTGTATTCACATTATTTATGTTAATGAGAGTATGGGGAGTGAGTTGGAGGGTGGGGTGGGCTGCTTTTAACTATGTAAAGCACTTTGTGCAGAATTTCAAGAAAATTTTTTCACTTTGTCATTATATTGTGCATATTGTGTGTGAAATTCTGAAAAATGAGTTTGGAACAATAACAAATGAAGGGCTGTGATACTTCCCAAACAGCCTGTATATTTTGGTATGAAAATAATGCTTTAATGTTTAGATTGAGTTAATGTTAATTTTCAATGTTTAAGTGATCATCATACTTGTTACTTTAGCAGACCTAGTGCCTACAGATTATATTCAGACATTTAAATATATTCAGCCAACTGTTAGATGTTAAATAAAATATTTTAGTAGAACTAAAAAAATATATATATACATCAAACATAAACTAAGGGAATGTAGTAACCCTTGATTTTTAAATGTCAACTTATTTTTATTTATATAATACATTTAAATGGTAAATGGCCTGTATTTGTATAGCGCTTTACTAGTCCCTAAGGGCCCCAAAGCGCTTTACATATTCAGTCATCCACCCATTCACGCACACATTCACACACTGGTGATGGCAAGCTACATTGTAGCTACAGCCACCCTGGGGCGCACTTACAGAGGCGAGGCTGCCGGACACTGGTGGACTCTGACCCCCACCAGTAGGCAACGGGTGAAGTGTCTTCCCCAAGGACACAAGATCGTCTATTTAAACAAAACCTGATACAAAAATTGTTTCTCAGGCAAACAAACACATTCAGCTCAAAAATCATGTTACACTGTTCTTGCCAAGTTAAAACTAACTGTTGAATCTGTTTGACTCCAACACTGGCCCTGTACTTAGCATTGAATCAATACCAAGTGTAGTGGCGGCACTCCATCTCTATTTCACTCTTCTGTACCACCTTTAGGAGTCAGTCTGGCAACATGCATTTGAAACGCGAGCAAGTCCAGGTACTTTTCTTGCAAAAAAGATGTTCATTGAAACTTTTAATTTACATGGCAAGACTCGGTCAAAAAACTGTGTTGCTTCCAGGTTATCCGACTCCCCAACTACGTAATTACAGTGTGCCGGAAGCCCAAAATACTAAAAAGCGCATTAGAATGTCGCACTTTTATATTCTATACCTTTAACAAAACAGTATTTTGAAATTAACTAGAAATTATATTCTTAATATCAAACGTATAATGTATATATCTCATTTAACCATTTTATCAGTACCAATAAAATTAATCTTTAACACTAGAATTACTGAGCCTCTTTTTTTTTCCTGGTACAAGTCCCTACTACTAGATCTATTAGCCCTGCGCAAATTTGCGTAAATCCCCTGAACCTACCGGTAAGACCTCCTAGAATTACTGACTTTTTTATTTTCTGGTGGAAGTCCCGAGGTGTTAATCACCCCTGCTGAAATTTTCACAGGTCATCAGCTTGATTCTCCTCCTGTTTTTGTTGTGCAAACCACCCATTATCTTTGAGGCCTGGAAGATTTGCATTTGTTCACTCAGAGTAGCTCAGATCCAAGGTAAGAGAAAAATCTGTGTTACAACCCTAGAATGGAGCTGAAGGCCTCTCAGCAGGGTACTAGGAGGTATTAGGTTCAGGGAATTTATGCAAATTTGCGCAGGGTTAGTAAAAATTCAAATTTTTTATTTGTCACACACACACAACCATACACAGTATGACATGGGGGTGAAATGCATGTATATGTATGTATGCATGAAATAAATGTAGTAGCTCCATTGTTCTCCTGGTTTTGTTGTGCAAAACACCCTCCCCCAACCAGGAGAGATTTGTGTATGTGTAGGAGTGGCATTACTTGACTACAGCACAGTGCTGTGCATAAAAGCAGACAGACCAGGAGGGAGAATCATTTCTTCTTCGCATTTCTGAGAACGCACATCAGGATGGCCTCCGTATCACTGCCATGCAGGAATAACCTATCGGCGCAACATCCTTGGGCCTTGCTTCAGGAAATAGACAAAGCAGATTCTGATGGAGGAGAGGTTTCATTTGTTCAGCAGACCACTGATACCTCCTCAGAAGAATCTGAAAAGGAGACGGAAGAACCCAACATGCCTCCTCGGAAGAGGCCCCCTTGGTACTGGGAAGCCCTGTCTGAGCCAGACGGCAAAAGAAGGCACTGCGTGGGTAGAGGAGGACAATGGAATGCCCAGTGCAGGAGCAAATCGCTCGTGCTTCACTGCGCAAGCTGGACCCACAGAGTCTGCTATGGTTTGTCATTGCCATATTACATATGGTATTTATATAAACCCATTTAGAGTGAGGTTCATGTAAATTTACCATTCTATATTTGTTTATCTTCCAACAGCGTAAAATTACATGTGTGCTCCAAAGCTTCCTTTGCCTGTTAGACGTGGGAATGCTGCACACCATCAGAGAGTCTGTAGCAACCGTCTGGCCTCACGGTAACCTTTGTACACAACTGCGAATTAGCTCCTGTGGTTCGCCAGCAGTGAACTGTTCCAAAAAATACAGCTTATCTTGATTGTTATCAGTCTTTTGCTCTACTGCTTGTTCGAAGGCTCTTATACTGTAGTGCATCACCTTTAAAAACAGGAATGTCCTTTGATGGCAACTGAGCCAGCTGCTGCTGTTTCACAAGTAACTCAGTGATTACATTCTGTTTCTGCATGACTGACAATAGATCATCACTTCTGTTAACGTGACTATTAAGCCCATGAGTGGAGACTGGATGTGGTACCTGTGAGTTTTGCACTTTTGAATTAGTGTGACTACTCACATTAGCTTGTTGTGGGAGCATTATGCCAACTCTTTCCTTTTTTACTCCTCGACCTTGCGATCTTTGTATTGACACATAACTGCTCAGACCATCTTCAGATCTTTCACATTCTTTGAGCACCTTTAATTTTGCTTGACTTTCTGCTAATGCAGTCTCCAACTCTAACTTCTTCTTTTTCCGCTTTGACTCTTGCTGTTTCAAGCTCAAGGTGTTGCCTAATCCTGGCCAACTCTAACTCAAGTTCTTGCTTTTTCTTCAATGCTGCGGCTCTTTCCAGCAAGGCTGCGTGTTCTGCCTCCTGTTTAGCACAAGTGGAGGAAACTTTAGATGTTGTAGATGCTCGGCTGACTTGAGACCCACGCGAGCTATGAACTGCATCCTTTCTAGCTCCAACCTGTGATGCGCTGTCATCTGGGTTAACAGTTTCCTCCAAGCCAACTGTAACGTGCTCCTGCTGCTCAGCTTCATTTGGAATCATATGCTTATGATCCTCTGCTATCCATTTCTTTGTTGTTTTCATAAACTCTCTTATTGATGCCATTTTGGGCTCAAACCAATTGTCCTGGTCAAATATTTTTTCTTCTTCAGACAAAAGGCTCATAACCTGGTTATTGTGACTTTGAAACTCATTCAGAGCCAATGCAAAGTCACTTTCCACCCTTTCTTTCAAATTTTGAAGGTTCTGAGCATCACTCATCATTATCTTTTTCTCCTTTATTTTGCCTGTGATTGTTCCTAATGTTTGTCTTCTTAAGGCAATACATCTTTGTAATTTTTCTTCCAAAGCCTTCTCTGTTAACTTACATGTTCTTCCTACCTCTCTTTCATCTGCCATCTTATAAGTTGCAGGGGTTTATTGGCTCAAGTTGCATGCACTATTTGTCTTCTGCTTAGAATTTTAATAGACATAGTGTAAACCAGCTTCATAACATGCCAAAAACTCCACATTGACTGTATCTGTCACGGTTCTGGGTCCGTTGGACCCAGTATTTTGAGTTTATTATGTTTTGGTTTAATTTTGCATCATGGATTGTTTTCTTGTTCTCTTGTTGTGGTTGTGATTATTATTATTAGAGTTTCATGTTTCTGTTATCCATGTTTTAGGAATTGTGGTTTCATGTATAGTTCAGTTCCATGTGTCATTTTCTGTCTCTCTGTGTTGAGTCCGTGTCTCTGAGTTGTGATTCATGTTTCCTGTTTTATTGTGAAAGTCCTTAACTAGAAATTATATTCTTAACATCAAACATGTATATTTCTCCTCTAATCATTTTACTAGTACTAATAAAATTAACCTTTAATTGGCTCTTACATCAGGTATGGCATTTTTACACATTGCTATCCAAGAGTTATGTAAAACTACTTTCAGCTGTTCTGTTGACACAAGCGGGTAGGCTCTACATGTTCGATTTGGCAATACTTTTAACACTTGATATCCTTCATGGTACCACCTTTAAACACAACCCATGTGTCTTTAGCTAGAGTTGTTGCTGCCTTTGGTTTGCAGGTAAATGTGTCAACCATCAGATGTCCACTCTTCTTGACTCTTCTTGAAATAACCATAGATTCCTGTTTTAGTCATGTAGTCATCTAAGGCAGACTTTTCTCAACTTTGCTGGTAAATCAGTGTTTCTCAGTGTTTAACTACCACCACTGTCAGTCAGATGCATAATGTACAAATTGTTTAAAGTGAACATACCTCATCACACATCACTAGGCTGAGAACCACAGCAAGAAAGCCAGTGGATGGATAAGCACCCTTCTTTCCCAGCCATACTTGATGAACATATTTCATGAAAGCCGGATGGAGGATCCAGATCTATTATGAATCAGACATAGCCTTAAATCTGAGTTCTATGAACTATTACTTTCTGCAATGAATTCACAAAATACTTTACATTAGCACGACTGTAGCTAAAAGAAGCCAGTATTTGTTTTTGGTGGTATGGCTTTGACTATTGACCTGCATGACCTTCCAGGCACATAAATGCCAAGTATGAGAGATTGGGAAAACCATAACAATACCCAATACAGAGCAGAGTAAACAGTAAATACTGCAACAAAGAAAAAGCTGAGGTGCAGGTGACTTGTGAAATGGCTTGCACATCTGTAGCAATAGTGGATATGCTAAATCAGGTTAAGTAGTAAAACCTACTGTATATGAGATTATCCAGTTCAGTGTGTAAAATCAGCTGACTTTGTTTCCTGCCTGAATTAATGGTAGCTTATATGCCAGTTTTGTTCATGTAAACCTAAAATACTCACCAAATCTTTGTTAGCTATCTTCTTTAAGTTTGGAGCACCATTTTCCCTGTTAAAAAGATGAAATGAACTGATTACATAATAA